CTTTATCAATTCACGAGTCTTACCAAGTCTCTCTGAATTCTTCACGTTTCTTAGGGTGCAATAATGAGAAATGATTATTAAATAACAAATTATCAAGGAGATCCCAAGAATTTACCCCACCTAGACTATTTCATCTAAATGGAATTGTTGCCTCACCCAATTAGAAAAACCATTACAAAGAATTTAATCTAAGGTGAATTCCAGCCCTTGTGTTCCATTCAGACAGGTTTGGGCAGTGGGGTGAATCCTTTGGCTCCATTGCCCAGGGCTGGGAATGATTTGGATGTAAATGACCAAATCAAAGTCACAGTCACTCAGCCCCTCATTAGAATAGGCCCACCTCTCCTTATAGTATTCATTCTCTCTCATTATTTGTTAACCAATCTGAGTCAATTGCCACCCTGAGGAATACCCGCTCTTCTGCTCTTCTAACAGCATGTAAGCATCAAGTAGGTTCCATGAGGGGTCTTTGGCATTCGAGAATGCCACTGACCCTTTTATTAATTATTGCTAACATCATTAATAAAATGATTAATTACCTAGAAATTGTCTATCTAACTTTTTATACCTCACACATCTACCACAATTTGTTTAGCCATCTGCCAGGTGATGGGCACCCACTTTGTTTCCAGTGTTTTGCTGCTACAAAATTACTCATTATAAATATTTCCCAGATGTTCATGGGAACTTTCTGTCTCTGGCCTCTTGGGAGTAGATTTCAGCTTATCTTAAAAATTCATCCTAGTCTCAGTTTGTACATATTCACTTAGGTCCCTGACTAACTAAATTAGGTGATAATTTAATTTATCCTAATAGATGATTTGCATATGTTTATGTTACAGATCCTTTGTAGGAACCAAAATAAAATGTCAAGGAAACCACACTTCAAAGGAAAGGCAAATGCTTTTTAATAAACGTCTTCCTCACAGATAGCAAACGTTTACTGAGAAGTTAGCAAAAGGAACAACAGAATTTTTTGTACTTTTTTAAGAGGTTTTCCACTCTACACTAAATTGTATGGTTACAGAAGGAAAAACTGGGAGGAAGCTTAGGGTTCATGTAGTTCAACCTCTTTATGTTTCAGAGGAGGCACAGAAGTCACCAAGAAGGAATTTGATTTGGACAAGGCCACATTTCACTCCCCAGCTCAAGAAGTTCTAATAGCTCCCTTTGGCCTTGAAGATAAAATACAAGCTCTTCTGTTTTGGCTTTTTAGAATCCTTCACAATCTGTCTTCAGCCTGCCCTCTCCTCACATTACTCCTCATTACTTACCATATATTCCATTCTGTCCACCCTACAGGGACACTCCCTCTCCCATCTCAAAGCCTTTGTACAGGCTAATCCCCAGGCCTAGAACACTTTCCTCCATCCTTCTGGCTCTGAAAAGCCCTACCTTCCTTCAGGACTTGGCTCAAGGACATTTCCTACCCAAGACCCATCCTTACCACCATAGTTGGTACTGCTCACCCCCCCCCTCCCTCTCTGTCTCTCTCCCCTCTCCACACATACACACGTATATACATATATATGTGTGCATATATATATATGTAATATATATACACTGTGTGTATATATACTCTGTGTATGCTATGTATACATTCTTATATATATATATATATACATTATATATGTTTTTCTATATATAATACATACTATATATACTCTACACACATATGTTATATATGAATAAAAATGTCTGTATACTCTATATATATATTCACACATATGTGTACTATATATACATTCTTTACATATACACATATACTATATATACTGTCTAGACGTAATACACACACTATATATTCTCTATATATACATATATGTAGATATAAATAATATATACTCTCTCTATATATATACACACACTTACTATATATGTGTACTATATATACATTCTATACCTACACACACATATACTATATACACTGACTATATATTACCTACACACTATATATTCTCTCTATATGCACATATATACATATAGAGATATAAATAAAATATATACTCTGTGTATATATGTACACATATTATACATGTATACTATATATAATTCTATACATATGTACACACACATGCACACACTATAGATTCTCTCTGTATACACACACATACATATATATGTGATATCTTATATTTCCTCATCTTTATGAATATTGTTTTCCTTTAAAATGATACAAATTCCTTGAAGGCAGACACTGTGCTCTTCCCATTTTTGCACCCCCTGGTGCCTAACCCAGAGTCTGATACAAAGTGGGTGCTTAATAAGAGAGATTAATAGCAGAGTTGGTACCCTCTCTGGGAGTGTGCAGCGTACATGATTGTGTCCAATCAATGTAATAGCATTGGTTAAGCACCTGTTACATGTCAGGCACTGTGCTAAGTTCTGGGAATACAAAGAAGGACAGCAAACCAGTCCTCAGCCTGGGAAGCTTCAGCCTGTGCCACACACACTCTCAGCCCCAGCCAACCCCTATTCCCGGCCCACCTCTAGGAAAAGTAGAAGTCCCATGGCATCACCAAGGATTTCTCATTAGGTGGGATTGTTATTTGTCCTTCATTCTCAAAGAGGACCAAGACATTGGAAAGGTGAAGCCATGACATGCCAGTGAACTGGATTTAAGTGAGGCAGGGCTGTGCAAAGTCACCAGCCTCACTTTCTCTTCCAGAGCCATCTGGGTCCAGTGGCCAGATATGCATCAGGATGACTGGATATGCCCCGCTTAGGTGGGATTAGGCAATAGATGATGGACTATCTATGATATCCCCAATGATGGGCACTCAACCTCCCCTTGAAGACCTCCAATGATGGGCAACTAACCATGTCACAAGGCAGTCCATCCTACTTTAAAACAGTTCTAATTTTTAGAAAGTTGGTTTCTTTGTTTTTATTGATTATGTGGGGCCAAAGTATCTTTCTCGGGGCAACTAGGTGGCGCAGTGGATAGAGCACCAGCGTTGGAGTCAGGAGGACCTGAGTTCAAATCTGGCCTCAGACCAAACACTTGATACTTACTAGCTGTGTGACCCTGGGCAAGTCACTTAACTCCAATTGCCTAGCCAAAAAAAAAAAATTCTCTCCACCACTTCCTCATATTACTCCTGGTCCTATTCCTTGGGACAAAACACAACAAATCTAAACTTTTCTCCTTGTGACAGCACTTCAGATACTTAAATGCAACAATCCTGTCCTCCTTCAGTCTTTTTTCATAGACTTATTTTCCAGTTGGTCTCCCTTCCTCGCATCTCTCTCCACTCGGATCCATCCTTCTCATAGCTAACAAAGCGAGCTGCCTAAAATGTAGATCTAACCATGGGATTACAAGTCAGTAAGTTCCCGCTCCCTCCAAGATCAAATATGAAATCCTCTGTTTGGCATTAAAAGCTCTTTCCAACCTGATCCATTCCTACTCTTCCAGTCTTCTTACGTTTCCCTTCCCTCAACGTCTATGATGCAGCTATTCTCACACACAGTTTCCCAACTCGAAGAATCCTCACCGACAGTCCGCCATGCCTGGAATCCTCTGTCTCCTCATTGGCTTCCTTCAAGATTCCGTGCAAATCCCATCTTCTTCATGGGGGGAGGGGGAGGTGGGCACGGGCCCCATGCTCCCAGTGCTAGGGTCTTCCCTCTGAGATGAACTTTTACTTACACTGCATTATTTTACATGTACATAGCTACTTGCACATTGTCTCCCCCATTAGAAAATGAATTCTTGGAAAGCAGAAATTGGATTTTTGTCTTTCTTTGTATCCTCAGGGCTTACCGCAGTGCCTGGCACATAAACGCTTGTTAACTGACTAACTATGGATGATGTATCCATCTCCAACCAATCCTCACTTCACATGGATTCCAATCCCCCTCACCCTTCAGGTCACCTTCTCTGAATATACTCCAGTCTGATAAAAACACCTTTTTCAAACAGCAGCTCCTTCACTGCTCTCCAGATGTGGTCTGATCATGGTAAAATACAGCAAGACTTTAACTGTTTACCTTTTGGACACCGTTTCTGTTAATGAGTAAATGTTTATTGAATGGAATGGGATGAAAGTGCATGAACTGCCCCCATCTTTCCCCCAAAAGCTTTTTTTTTGTCTGCCTTGTCAGTCTGTTGATTCTCACAGCAAGGTCAAATCTTGTATAGGGTACTGTGGTGAGTCAGGTTATCACCCAGAGCCAGAAGGAACAGCACAGCCTTGGGCTTGCCACATCAGGAGAAGGCTTTCCATCCCACCCACATTTCAGTCCTGCTTCCTAACACCACAATGCCTCAACTACTGGTCCTCTGGGAAATGTTAATGTCACAGAAACAACGGATGGTAGAATCTGCAGACGAAAGTCACCTTAGATGCAAGTCATTGGACTAAGAACCTCTCTCCCATTTAACAGATGAAAAAAACAAGGTCAACCAACACAAATTAACTTCCCCAAAGTCATATGGCTAGTTACTGGTAGACATAGGTCTAAAACTCAGGTCTCCTGACTCCAGTCTTATACTCTTCCATTAAACTTCCACAGGAATGTGTTGGAGCTGGCTGGAACTTGGGAGAGCTAATTGTTAAATTTCCAGTGTAATCATTTATAAGGTGGAAATCAGCAAATGCTAGAAATCAGCGCTTGATTTTGTTTCGTTGATTGTCTCCAGACTTAGGAAAGTGATGATGAAAATGTGAATAATGTTGATTAAACTTAAAAGTGTGTTATGGGTACTTTTTTTTTTAGAAAGCTAGTTGTTAAACATTTCCCAGCATGTCTATGTCTCATTGCTTCTCATATTGCATCATCCTCTTTTTCTCTTTTTTCACTATTCCCCAGCAATTGGGAAGGACAACATGACGAGTGCATAAAATGAAGAGCTTTGTTGCAGGACCTGTAGAAGTAGACTGCTGAGCCTGAGCAGGCCACATGTGGGAGGAAGCTTTGCACCTGGCCCGGGATCTTGCCTAGGCCAAGCGCTCCAGATATCTGGCGAGGGAGGTCTCCAGGAGACCAGGACTTACCATCCATGTCCAGGCGTTGCATAATGATGGCCAGCTCCACCTCACTGGGCATGTAGCCCAGAGAGCGCATGGCCATGCCCAACTCCTGCTTGGAGATGAAGCCATTCCCATCCCGGTCCAGAACCCGAAAGGCCTCACGGATTTCTGTAAAGGGCAAAGGGAAAGAGGGTCAAATGGTTAAGAGGAATAGTGTGTGAGGACTCCTAGTCTGCTGATTTCCGCTACAATCAAGGTGCCTCTCAGAACGAATAAGGCATAGAGATGAAAGCATTGGACACCTGAGTTTTAGTCCCCTCTCTGCCCTTTATTTGCTACGTGACCCAGAATGAGCTACTTCTCTCTGTCTTTTGGGGGTTGCTGCTGTTGTTTCATCTGTAGAGATGACTGGATTATGTGTGGGATTCTTTTGCATTCTAACATCATAGGTTCTATATTTTGAGGTTCCTCCTAGCCCTAGTATTCTTTGTTCTAAGGTCCCTCCCAGCTCTGACATCCTATGTTCTAAGGTCCCTCCCAGCTCTAACATCCTATGTTCTAAGGTCCCTCCCAGCTCTGACATCCTCTATTCAAAGGTCCCTCCCAGCTCTGACATCCTATGTTCTACGGTCCCACCCAGCTCTGACATCCTATGTTCTAAAGTCTGTCTCATCCTTAATATTCTATATTCTAGGGGGCGGAGCCAAGATGGCAGAGTGAAAGCAGCAACTTGCTTGAGCTCTCCCCCAAACCCCTCCAAATACCTATAAAAACAGCTCTAAACAAATTCTAAGGCAGCTTAACCCACAAAAAGACAGAGCGAAACAAATATTCAGCCCAAGACAACCTCTGGATGATTGATCAGAAAGGTATATTCTGCTGGGCTGGGAGCGCAGTGCACTGCAGCATGCGTGCGCAGGCCACAGTGAACCTGGAGCAGGCCTCAGAGGACTGAATCACAGGCAGCAGTGGCAGTTTCCAGACTCCTCAATCTGTGAATGCCAAAGACAACTTAGAAGGTCAGTGGGAAAAGTCTGTTTCCATGGTGCTGAGAGAGGAAGGCAGGGTCTCAGTTCCATTCCCCGAGAAAGCTGTCCTGGGGTGGGCAGCTGCTTCCTGAGCTTCCAGCCCATAGACTGAGGGGGAATCGAGCGGCTGATCAGAGGGGGATAGCAGGGATCTCTTTGCCAGTGCTGAGGCAGGAATCTCTTGCTTTGTCCCTGCTTGGAGCTAGGTCACAGTTCTAGATGGGGGTCCTGGGGTGAGAAGGAGAGCTGGCACGGTGGAGCTTGTAGTGGCTGTGGACAGCCTCACAGTTCCAGGACAGAAAGGAGTGCTTGTGGTCACTAATAGACCACAGCACAGGCCTTGAAAGGAGTAAACACCTCGCCCCTTATTATACCACTTTGCAAGAACTGAAAATTTATGGGTCCCTACAAGTATCTCTGAAAACAGCTACATAAACCCCTGAAGCTTGGGACACTACATTCTCCACATTGGAAGCAGACTCCTACCTTAACAAAGAGTTTAAAACTCAAATAATTGGCCAGGATCATGAGCAAGCAGCACAAAAAGAGTCAGACTATATTATCTTACTTTGGTGACAAAGAAGATCAAAATATACAACCAGAAGAAGACAACAAAGTCAGAGCTCCTATATCCAAAGCCTCCAAGAAAAATATGAATCAGTCCCAGGCCTTGGAAGAGCTCAAAAGGGATTTTGAGAAGCAAGTAAGAGAAGTAGAGGAAAAACTGGGAAGAGAAATGAGAGTGATGCAGGAAAATCATGAAAAACAAGTCAACAGCTTGCTAAAGGAGACCCAAAAAAATACTGAAGAAATAACACCTTAAAAAACAGCCTAACCCAAATGGCAAAAGAGGTCCAAAAAGCCAATGAGGAGAAAATGCCCTAAAAAGAAAAATTGGCCAAATGGAAAAGGAAGTCCAAAAGATTACTGAAGAAAATACTTCCTTAAAAATTAGAATAGAGCAATTGGAACTAGTGACTTTATGAGAAATCAAGACACTGTAAAACAAATCCAAAAGAATGAAAAATATAGAAAGAATGTGAAATATCTCACTGGAAAAACAACTGACCTGGAAAATAGATCCAGGAGAGAGAATTTAAAATTATTGGACTATCTGAAAGCCATGATCAAAAAAAGAGCCTAGACATCATCTTTCAAGAAATTATCAAGGAAAACTGCCCTGATATAGTAGAACCAGAGGCAAAATAGAAATTGAAAGAATCCACAGATCTCCTCCTGAAAGAGATCCCCAAAGGAAAACTCCTAGGAATATTGTAGCCAAATTCCAGAGTTCCCAGGTCAAGGAGAAAATATTACAAGCTGCCAGAAGAAACAATTCAAGTACTGTGGAAACACAATCAGGATAACACAAGATTTAGCAGCTTCTACATTAAAGGACCACAGGGCATGGAATATAATATTCCAGAGGGCAAAGGAGATAGGATTACAACCAAGAATCACCTACCCAGCAAAACTGAGTATAATCCTTCAGGGGAAAAAAATGGTCATTCAGTGAAATAGAGGACTTTCAAGCATTCTTGATGAAAAGACCAGAGCTGAATAGAAAATTTGACTTTCAAATACAAGACTCAAGTGGAACATGAAGAGGTAAACAGGAAAGAGAAATCATAAGAGACTTATTAAGGTTGAACTGTTTACATTCCTGCATGGAAAGATGATATTTATAACTCATGAGACCTTTGTCAGTATTAGGGTAGTTGGAGGAAAAAATTATATGTATGTATAGGTAGATAGATAGATAGATAGATAGATAGATAGATAGATAGATAATGGACAGGGTGAGTTGAGAAGGTGAGTTGAAGATTAAGGGGTCATATCTGGAGAATAAAATTAAGGGATGAGAGAGGATTATACTGGAGAAGAAAAGAGAAGGGTAGAATGGGGTAAATTATCTCACAAAAAAAAAACAGAAAGAAAATGCTCTTACAGTGGAGGGGAAATGGGGGAAGGTGAGAGGGAATGAGTGAATCTTATTCTCATAGGATTTGGCTTAAGGAGGGAATAACATACACATTCAATTGGGTATGGAAATCTGTCTTACTCTATGGGAAAATAGGGGGAGAAGGGACAAGAGAGCAGGGGATGATAGAGAGGAGGGCAGACTGGGAAAGGGGGTAATCAGAAGCAAATACTTCTGAGAGGGACAGGGTCAAAAGAAAGAATAGAATAAATGGGAGGGCAGGATAGGATTAAGGGAAATAGAGTTAGTTTTTCACAACATGTCTACTATGGAAGTGTTTTGCATAACTGCACATGTATAACCTATATTGAGTTGCTTGCCTTTTCAATGAGGGTGGGTGGGGAGGGAGGAAAGGAGAAGATTTGAAACCTAAAGTTTTAAAAACATGTATTTAAAAAAAATGTTTTCACATGCTCCTGGGAAATAAGAAATACAGGAAATGGGGTACAGAAGTCTATCCTGCCCTACAGGAAAATAGAAGGGGAAGGGGATAAGAGAAGGAGGGGGGAGAGATAGAAGAGAGGGCAGACTAGGGGAAGGGATATTCAGAACGCATGCCATCTTGGGGTGGGGGAGGGGTGAGATGGGGTGAAAATTTGGAACTCAAAAACTTGTGGAAGTGAATGTTGAAAAGTGAAAGTAAATAAATTTGTATTAAAAAAAGAGGTAAAAAAACCATTCTATATTCTAAAGCCCCTCCCCAATTTATTTAGCTTATTTGCCCATCTTTGTCTGCATGTTGTTTCTCCCACTAGACTGGGAAGTGCTCGAGGGCGCCCAGGTGTTTTGTCCCCTCACTGTGTCTCCAGTGCTTAATGCCTGGCACATGGTAATCCCATCATAAATGCTGGCTGACACTCTCAGCTCTGACATGCCAGGGGTATCTGAGCTTTTCGTCACAAGGACTATTGTGTTTGCATCACTGTACCCCCAAATGTGGATATTTAGTAAATGTTTGTTGAATTGGCAGAAAAGAGGGTCAGATGGACAAAGGCTTTTAACTGGGTTGCCATCAGACATTGTCTGCTAATACCCTTCATCACTGCACAGATATGCTCTAAACAAAGAGAGAACTGGCTTTAGGTCAGAGCCAAGGAAGACCTCTGAGGCAATGAGGATGTGAAAGTACAGCTGTGAGTACCCACTTAGACTGTGGCATACAAATGGGAAAAGAGGAGGGCTGATGTATTATGTATTAAGTTTTTCTGTAAAAAATCACTATGAAAATCTAGCTGGGTAGCATACATCTATCTGAGTTAGGCTTCCCTGAAATTTCATTCTCTCTCCCCACCCTTCCAACCCTGGGCCACAGAGAGCAAACTGAGCAGAGATTCCCTAACTCCAGGCCCTTGAAAAACATCTGCTCCAAGGTCTCAGAACCAGCCCCAAGGATAATCAATCAATTTCTAGGTCTCGATAACACAAAACAAAACTGTTCTTGCCCTCAACAATCATACATTCTTTTACCTTATTGTTCTGTTTATTTCCCAGGCAACTCTGTCCCAGAGAAATTCTGGGATGGCAGAAAGGAACCAGAGTTTAAAAAAAAAAAAACTTAAGGGATGGGTAAGAGTCCCATGCTAGGAATGTTCTCCTCTCCCCCTCTGCCTGCTGGAATCCCCAGATCTCTTCAAGGTTCATCCTCTACCAGTGGCCTTTCCTGATTGACCCAGGTCTTCATAACCATCCCTGTATATATTTCCTATACATCCTGCATGAATTTACCTGTAAATATACTGTCTTCCCCAGCAGGAGGTAAGCTTCTCGAGAGCAAGGGCTGGGTCATTTTTATATGTGTCCCCAGGACCCAGCACCAATACATGCTTAGTAAATTTTCAGCAGATTGATTGATTGAATAGGGACATATGTTGCATTATGGAAGGAAAGACCCTAGAAATTATATAGGATCTTTTCAGAACTTTGTTGACAAAAGTATGCAGTTGCCTGCAACCCTTGCTTCGGTTGAGCCAATGAGGGCAGTGAGGTTTCTTGAGAAAAATAGTAAAAGGTCTCCTCAGGTCTCTGTGAACTTGGCCCTGTAAAGCAGGGGTTATTAACCTGGGATCTAAGGATCCCCAAGAGGCCTATAGATAGATGTCTAAGAGACTATGAACTTGGACAGGAAAAAAATGACATCTTTGTTTCAATATAATTTGTTTCATTTATAATCCCATTTATTTTATTTTGTGATTTAAAAATAAGAATTTGAGAAGACATCCATAGGTTTCACCACTGTGCCAAAGCAGTGCAGGACAAAAAAAAAAAAGGTCAAGAAAACCTAGTCTATGGGATGTGGAGGAGAGGCAATGACTAGGCCATGGGTTCAAGGCCTAACAGTCCTAACAGAGTCTGAGATTGCCATGGCTAGTCTTTCCACAATCCCACAGGGCCCCAAGCTCTGACCTAGCCTTAGGATAGAGACGAAGCCTCCTAGGACTGACCTCTTAGAGGAAAAGAGGATGGACCTGCACCTGAGAAAGGCTTCAGTTTCCAGCTCCTTGGTCCTAGTTGTAATGAAAGGCTTTGGAGCCCCTGCCTCCTGCTGCGGTTCTGGCTCCATCCTCCTAATTTACAGTTGTGTTACAGCTATAAACAGCCTCAGATCAATAAGAGTGTCATAAAAAGGAGAAGGACTTTTATTCATTCAAAGGCTTCTTCAATAATTTTTTCCAGCCCAGCTGAACACTTGACTCTAGCATAAATAAGTCCTGTTTGACCTGACAGATGGCCCACTATCACCGCCATCCCATTTTTGGTGCTACAGCAAGCTCAGAATCCCCTACCCTCCAGAGACCCCACACCTTGCATCAGGTGGGCAGCCTGGCTGGCCTCTTTAGGACATTGCTCATGTCTTTCTTCCTCAAAAGAACAAGTCCCCAGGGACCACCCCCCAACTCCACTAGAAAATCCCATGACCTGAAAGAGTCCAGGCACATGGTCAAGAGCTACATTTGCCGGGATGGGTAGGTGGCGCAGTGGATAGAGCTCCGGCCCTGGAATCAGAAGGATCTGAGTTCAAATCTGGCCTCAGACACTTGACACTTACTTGCTGTGTGACCCTGGGCAAGTCACTTAACCCCAATTGCCTCACCCAAAAAAAAAAAAAAAGAGAGAGAGATTTTCCCAGCCAAAACTAAACACCAGACCTGGTCCCTAGTCAGGGAGGCAGCATGGCCTAGGTGAAAAAATGAATGAACTGAATAAACTAATGAGCATTTATTACTTGCTTACTATGTGCAAAGCACTAGGTAATCAAATGTGAGACAATCCCCACCCTCATGGAGCTCAGAGTCTAATGAGGGAATTGAGGCATGTAGAAGAGTGGTGGCCACGGAGAAGTGTTTTAGTTTGGAATGTCATAGGGAAGATGACTAATATAGACTGGCATGGATTTTCCAGTGCCATTGGCAGTATTGATGGATAATGGTTCCAGAGCTGAGAAGGGGCAGGCTTGTTTTTCTCTCTCTCTCTGTGGCATTCTATTTCCTATCACCTTTGCACCAACAGTCCCCCAGGCCAGGAATGGTTTTCCTGTTCATGTCCAGCTCTTGGAATCCTTAGTTCCCCTTGAAACCTAGCTCAAGTGACACATCTAACACAAGACCGTTTACCATCCTCTTGGCTGTTACCACTGCCCCCTCACCAAACACACGCCCTGGGTAATAACTATTTTGTACTCACTTGGCATACATTTTGTATTTCTCTATGCATATGTTGTTTCCCCCATAGAATATAAGTTCCTCTGAGGGCAGAAATTTTGTTTTTTGTCTTTGTAATATAAATTTTGTAAAATGCAAAATGGTTCCCGGACTTGTATTTTTATGATGATGATGGTGGAAGGATAGACAAGGTAATAGACAAGGCTAAGAATCACAGCTTTTAGACTAGCTCTGAACACTGATCTAACTCTGGATATTCTGAATGCCAGATCTTCACCCGCCGGCCAACAAGTTGACAATCTACTGAAGGACTAGACCCACATCTCTTCTGGATCTGAATAAATGGCTTGCCCGGTACCTAGGGGGTGTTAACGGGCTTCAACACACCGCATAGATCCTTTATGTTGAATTTATGAGTATAAGAAAGAATACCCATTGGTAATGGATCATTATTTAGAGCTGGGAGGGACCTTAGAGGTCATCTAGTCCTAACCCTTCATTTTACAGATGAGGAAACTAAGGTCCAAGGAGACTTGCCCATGGACACTCTGGTAGTAAGTGCCAGAAGCAGGATTAGAACTCAGGATCTCAGGTTCCCCCAACCTAGCATTCTTTCCATCTCATCTCAGATCCACTAAAGTACCCCAGTATGAAAAATGGATATACCTAAAGTATCTAAGACAGGTGTACACAAACAATGTGTTCTTCTATTGATACCAAATATGTGCTTTCCTGGTTCCTTCCTTATTCACAGAGAGGGCAGAGGTAGGCCTGAGAATCAGTCAATTATCAGTAGCCCAGTACCACAAAAGATTTCCAGTAGACATGACCAATATGTCTCTACTCCACCAGAGATGTTCATACACTTAACCCTGCCGTCACCCACAAGCATTCCATTTCCATGTTCACAGACTCTGAAATTCTATTTCTGATCATTTTTTACCATTCCACTTTCCCTCTGCCTCATGATGCTTAGGTTCCCTGCTTCACGTCTCCCCACAGTCCAATTCATCCTTTGCACAGATACCAAAGTGATTTTCCTGAAGCGTGTGTCTCACCACGTCACTCCCCCTCTCATTAAACTCCAGGGATGCTATGCCTCTCTAGGATCAGATATAAAATCCTCTGGCATTAAAAGCTCTTTAAAATATGTGCCCAATTAACTTTCCAGTCCTATTACAATTATTCCCCTTCACATGATCTACAATACCGTCAATGACCTTGACCTTCTTACTGTTCCTCATACATGACACTCTATTTCCTGTCTTGTTTCTGTGCTGATTACCCCAGTAAATGGAACGCACTCCCTCCTCCCTTTCATCACTAAGAACCAATCCCTAGTGAAGACACAGCTCAGTTGCTACTTTCTCTATGAAACCTTTTCTAATCTCCCCCACCTCGCTGCTAATGTCCTCCTCCACAAAATCATCTTTTCTCTATTTTATCTCTATTTGTACATACCTCTGTCTCTAGGTATTTATTGCCTCCTCCACAGAATGTGAGGCAGCTGAGTGGCTCAGTGCATAGTGGTGGGCCTGGGGTCAGGCAGACCTGAGTTTACATCCTGCCTCAGACATTTACTAGCTGTGTGACCCTGGCCAAGTCATTTAACCTCTGATTGCCTTAATTCATTGGAGAAGGAAATGGCAAACCACTCCAGTATCTTTGCCAAGAAAACCCCAAGGACACTGTGGTCCATGGGGTCATGAAGAGTCAGACAGGGCTGAACACCCAAAGAATGAAAGTTTCTTCAGGGCAGGGATTCCTCCCTTCTCATCTTGGAATAACTAGTGCTTAACACAGTACCTAGAACACAGTAAGTATTTAGTAGTAGACTTGTTGTTTTTATATCATGTTCTTTTTCCTTGTATAGCCTTCCTCACTTGCCTCCACATAGAGACATCCCTTGTAACAAAGATTGAGGGGGGAAAAAGTCATTTCAACAAAGCCAACCACATCTAATAATATTTCCTATATTCCACATCCATATTACCCTAGCTCCCCAGAAAGAGAAAGGACGTACGTATTCTCAGTTCTCCAAGGTAAGCCTGGCCATTGTAATTATATAGTTCAGATCAATGAACATACACTGATGATGGTTATGAAGATCACTGAATGAGGAGGCAGGGTGATATAGTGGAGATAACATTGGCCTCTGAGTTCTAGCCCAGCTCTGTCCCTAATTTGTTATATGACCTTGGGAAAGCCACTCTAAGTCAAGTCAACAAGTATTAATTAAGTACCTATTATGTGCCAGGCACCGTGCTAAGCACTGGGTCCTCCCCTCCTGGGTCTCTGTTCCCTCTGTAAAATTAGAGGACTGGACAAGGTGACCTCTAGTAGCCCTTCTGACTTCTGAACCTATGTAAGATCCTACATGTGACCAGATCTAAGGCCATCTACGAGTTGACATTATACTCTGGGGACTATGGCTCAATTAAAGGACATAATTCTGGACCCCAGAAGTTGACTGAGATTTGAGGTCCTTTTCTCCAATATTTCTGCCTCCCTTATTGAGAAAACTTCTCAAGCTTGGGGGAAAGCAGACAGTGCTCACTAAATTCATTTCCCTTTTAAATAGAAGTGGGGGTAGGGGGAATGTAAGGGAACAAAAAGAACCTTAAATCCATTAAAGAGGCCTCTTGGAGATTTAATCCTGCCTGGGGAAGGAAAGCACAGGAAAACCCAAGACTAGTTACAGAGAAGTGGGGCCTTCAGTCTGGGAACAACACATGACGTCTGCCTGGTTTTACTTCCTTATAGTAGTACAGCGTGTAAGAAATATGCCTATAAAACTAGGCAGGGAAGTCAGAGCAGACAGTCCTCAACTGCCTCTGGCGATAGCTCACCTACACTAAGTGCAGACGTGGTCACCAGACACTGTTTCCCCAGGCTCTGAAAGTCAGGCCTGCAGAAAGTTTGCAGCAGCAGTACAGCAAGGTTGCTGGCTTTCTCACTTGGGGATTTACTTATTCACTTCCTCAGGCTAAAAGGCCCCCATTTTTTCAGATTTATTTTAGTCCTTTGCATTGGGTGGGGGGTTTTTAATTTTTTTTAATTCTTCAGTAGTGTTGACTATCTGCCTCACCAAGATTCCTAATGGCTATAGTGGCCAAGGAATCCAGCTGGGGTCTCTCACTGCAGACAAGCTTCAGGGACCCTTTCTCTACCCCCGGAGTACCAAATTTTGAAATAGAAGATCTGGGGGGCACCATGAATTGGAAGTCAGAAAGACCTAAATTCGAATCCCATGCGTACTCCCCATACTTACTAGCTGTGTGACTCTGGGCAAGGCAAGTCCCCTCTCTTAGCTTCATTTTCTTCATCTTTAAAACAATCAGATTTGGACTAAGGCCTCTAAGGTCCCTTCCAGCTCTGAAGTCTATGAACCTCTCTGGTATATAAGCTAGCTTTGCACTGTCTTCAGGGGAACAAAGGGTTCAAATCCCATCTCTAACATTTACTATGTGTATGACCTTGGGTAAGTCTCTTAACTAGTCTACACCTCAGTTTACTCATTTGAAAAATAAAAGGATTAGACTAGCTGGCTTCTGAGTGCCCTTTTCTCTCCCTCTAGGTCTGTAATTCTATGGTCCTCATCATGGCAAGAAAAAATAGTGAAGCAGGGAAGAGAACAGGGAAGTGAATGGCCAGGTAAGGCCAGCTCTGGCTGAGGATCCAGCCTCCTAAGAAACTGCAGGCCTGCGACACAGATTCAATCCCTGAAATCACCAGCAGCAGGAAAACAACGTGTGTTACAGCTGAACTTCACTTTACAGTTAATGTCAACATTCTTTGGGCAACGTCAAGGCTCGGGAGAAGCAACCGGAAGTTATCACTAAATTAGCACTATTAAAAGCCCGCAATCATTAGCACCACCAATGAATGGCCGACACTTCCCTAGACCTAAGAGTAAACCTCCTGTTTATTCTCCGTTAGATTTTTATATCAGCAGAGCTGGAGCCTTAGCTGCATCCTGATAGCTCTATTAGTGTAACGGGATGCATTCCAAAGATGTACTTTATTGTCAGAGGCTTCATAACCAGAGATAGCATCTGGTTACCGAGACAGAGGTCCTGGATTCAAATCCCACATCTGATATTTACTATCTGTGTGACATCGTTCAAATTAATCTTCCCGAGTCTTCGTTTCCTCATCTGTAAAATTAGGTTGAATTAGATGGTCTCTGAGGTCGCTTTCAGGCCTTTATCTGTTACCTAATGAAGTAGAGTAGGAGGCCCAGGGGTTTGTAAGAGTCTGAGTGGTAAAGCCTTGGACCTGGAATGAGGATGCCTGGGTTTCATCGCACCTCCCTCAACGTTGTTATAAGTGGCCTTGACTGCCGTACCTCCGGGAAAGACAGGCAGGAACTTGCATAGGATGCCCTGGGCTCCTGTCGGTGTCTGGTCCGTGGTCGGGCTCCATGATGCTCTGGAGGGTTCATCTAGGAGAGGATCTGATGGGTGATCTAATGCTGACGAGCCCTGACCTAATATGGCTGAGCTCCATCCCCCATTGCTGGGGAAGCCTGCCCCAATGATAGACATGCCACCATGAAAGCCCTGGTTCAGGCAATTACAGAGTGTGCGACACTTCCATTACCTGGTAGATTTTATTGCATTCTGTTAGAATGGGGATTTCTCGAGGAGAAGGATTTTTGTCTTTCTTTCTTTAATACTTAGAGCAGAGTCTGGCATACCTTAGGTGCTTAATAAATGTTTGTTGATTGACTGCGTGTAAGCTCTTTAAGGGCAGGGACTGTTTCACTTTTGTCTTTATATACTTTATATACTACCTAATATAGCGCCTGACACAGTAGGGGCTTAATAAATGCTTGTTGACTCATTAATTGATAGCAGGTAAGTTCCTTGAGGGCAGGAAATGTTTTACTTTTATCTCTGTAGGGCAGACGTTAGTCCAATGCTTGGCCCACAGTAGTTGCCTAATAAACGTCTGTTAATGAATTTTTTTGTTGTACAGTTGTTTCAGTCATGCCTGACTCTCTGCGCCCCCATTTGGGGTTTTCTTGCCATTTCCTTCTCCAGTTCATTTGATGGATGAGGAAACTGAGGCAAGCAGGGTTAAGTAACTTGCCCAGTGTTACACAGCTAATTGATTAATTTTAGGAAAAGGAAAAAAAGACAATGAGCTTTTAATAAGCATCTACTATGTGCCAGGCAATGTGCTAAGTGTTTTACAAATATTATCTCATTTTAAGGATCTAGAGGGAACTACAGGAATGGCTAGATGCACCCATTGGACTCATTGTGTAGGGCAGCAAAGGGGACAGTCGACATAGCATGTCACGCATCCTGTAAGAAATAAGTTATCTTCTGAAATAGAGTTGCACAGATTCAAAGGTTAGGCTCCCATTTGGATCCATTTCTGTCCTCCTTGGATTCTCAGTAATGTTTTAGAGCCTTGGACAGAAATGATGGCTGTTTTATAACGTGGGAGATTTATTTTTCATTACCCCAGTTACTTTCCCTACTTACAAATTATCCATAGACTCACTGGGCTGGAGTCTGCAGCATGGGTTCCTCCCAGATCCAATCCTGCCTGCTCCCTGAACAGCAGGCACCCAGGGCTCTGCAGAGCTCTCCAAGAATGGAGATATTCCAGGAAACTCCCGCATGCAAGAAACCGCAGGCATGCAGGATAGATTCATTTGGTGAAGCAATCAAAAAGTGTGTTCTATGCATATGTTAGAGCTAAAGTTCAAACTCTAGCAAAAGTCAACATGAGTCGGCTAATGGCCAGGCTTAGGAGAGTCAACCAGAAGTTATCGCTAAATTAGCTCCATTAAAAGACAGCAATCATTAGCACCTCCGGTGAATGGATGCCACCTCCCTAGACCTAAGAGCAAACCCTCTATTTATTCTTCATGAGATTTTTATATCTGCCAGAGGCTGAGCTTCGGCTGTGTACTAATAACGCTACCAGCGAAAGGGGATCTGTTCCAAAAACCATTTCTTTTTCGGAGGCTGCATTTTGCATCTCGAGTGCCTAGCCCACTACCTGCCACATTGCTGTTCTGTCCTTTCAGTGGTGTCCGACTCTTCGTGACCCCATTTGGGATTTTCTTGGCAAAGATCCTGGAGTGGCTTGCCATTTCTTCTCCAGTTCATCTTACAGATGAGGAAACTGAGTCAAAAAGGGTTAAGTAACTTGCCCAGGGTCACACAGCTAGTGTGTGCCAAATTTGAACTTTAGAAGAGGAGTCTCCCTGATTCCAGGCCCGGCACACAGTAGGTATTTAATAATAAATGTTCAGTGGTTGGTTCATAACCAGAGGTAGATTCCCATCAGAGGTACAGGGAAGTATGAGAGGAAGCATTGTGGAATGGCTAGAGAGACATAAACTTGGAATTGGAAGTGACCCCAGGGGTTCTCTGGTCCTACTCCTTCATTTTATAAATGACGAAACTGAGTCCCAGATTAGTTAAGTGGCATGGCTAGAGTTACAGAGTGATAGAGTCAGAGGTTCATGGATTTGAAGCTGGAAGGGTCCTCAAGACCCATATAGCCCGACTGCCCCATTTCACAGATGAATAACCTGAGGCCTAGGAAGTCAGAGGATGAGGGTCTGAGTCCCTTCTCCCCAGTATGTCTTTATTAGTTGTGTGACTACCTGCAAACTACTTAACCTCTAGCTTCCTCATCTGTAAAATGGGTATAGTATTACTCTCACTACCTACCTCACATAGTTGTTCCAAGAAATGTGGTTTGCAAACCATCCGGTCTATTCAAATAAGACACATTAGATGAAGAATACGAGAGAATTTCAGGGGCTTAGGGGTGGGGGTAGAGGAAGAGACTCATCAGATATTTAAACACTAAATTGAAACCATCAAATGATACCAAAAAGCATGCAAATTGATCTAGGGGGTCTTGAGACTTGGGTAAAGGAGAGGCTAGGTTACAAGAAGTTGTGGAATAATAATAACTCATATTTGTATACGCTTTCAGCTTACAATAACCCTGTTCAGTGGGCAATACAATTATTAATATTATTATTATCTCCAATGCCTAGGTACAGTCAGTGGCTGGCACAGAGCAGGTACATAATAAATGCTTGTTGATGGATTTTCCATTTTGCAAAGGAGGAGAGTGAAGATTGAAGAGGTTGTCCATGGTCACACGCAGCTTAGTAAAGTGGGATCTGAACCCAGGTCTCCTTAACTACAGTGTTGAGAGGATACACCTTGTACTTAGGTAAGAGGGGCAGGAGAAGGTCTGGAAGGAAGAGGCCTCTTGGACAGTAGATCTGGCCTAGGGCACAGTTGGTGGTAAAAATCCCAGAAGGCAATGTTCACAATAACATAATGAATAACATATGAGGAGATTCATGACCTTGATCAGTGCAGCCCTGAAACATGCCTTCATCCTCTCTCTTGGCAGAGTGGTGGTGGGTGCCAAGTGCAGAGTGGGGCATACATTGTCAGGCATGGCCAATGGGTCTATTTGATTAATTTCATTTTGTTACAACTGAGGGTTCTATTGAAGCAGGGGTAGGAGGGATTTATTAGCAAGGAAGGAAGGAATGAAGGAACGAAGGAAGGAAGGAAGGAGAGGAGGGGGGAGGAGAGGAGAGGAAGGAAGGAAGGAAGGAAGGAAGGAAGGAAGGAAGGAAGGAAGGAAGGAAGGAAGGAAGGAAGGAAGGAAGGAAGAAGGAAGGAAGGAAGGAAGGAAGGAAGGAAGGAAGGAAGGAAGGAAGGAAGGAAGGAAGGAAGGAAGGAAGGAAGGAAGGAAGGAAGGAAAGGAGAGGAGAGGGAAGGGGAGGGGAGGGAAGGGGAGGGGAGAGGAGAAAGAAAGAAAGAAAGAAAGAAAGAAAGAAAGAAAGAAAGAAAGAAAGAAAGAAAGAAAGAAAGAAAGAAAGAAAGAAAGAAAAGAAAGAAAGAAAGAAAGAAAGAAGATAACATCAATAAAAGAGTTAAAATAAAATAAAAACTTTAAAAAGGAAGCCAGGAATGAGCCAAAGGTTTCTCTACCCTCAGTAACTCTTTGACTAAGCCTCCAGCAGCCTCCTCTGGGGCAAGCAGAGGAAGGAGAATAAGGGTAGCAAAGAGGCGAGGTCATGGACTATCCCATCTAAACCTGCTCCCAAATCATCCTAAACAGACCAAGTCCCCCTCACCTCCAAGTCCAGCCAAGCAGGCCAGGTCTCCATCTGCATCCACCCTCCCCAGATATATCCCCATCCACCAGCTAATGGCTAAAGTGTCTTTCACAACAAAGGGAAGCCCTTCATTCCCTCATCAGAAATAAATGGCTTAGAAGTCAGAGGCCTGGCTGTCCTAATGTTTCCTTCAAATGAACTTCCTTAAAGTATAATCAATCCATCAATCAACAAGTGAGATTGACTAGTGCTCCGATCCCTTTCTGCCTAACTTGGGGGCTGGAGGCTGAAGCCCACAAAGGGAGCTGGTTCTCTGAAGCAGGAGGAAAGAGAGAAAGGGGGTATGGGACTGTCAGCCTGGGGACAAAGGACATATTCAATGCCCTTCTGCCTCCCCTCTTTGAGTGCAATGACTGTCATTCTTTCTCTCTGTAACCCCATATCATACAGCTTTGTCCATAAGAGTATTTAGAAAATTTATGTTGAATTATTCTACAAAAGACAATATTTACAAAGTGTCATGGCCTTGGCAATTCTATCTCCATAGCATCTCTCACATTTGGACCCTTCTCTCCACTCACATAGCTAGAGCCCCAGATCTTTCTTTGGCTGAGATAGTGCCAACCGCCTCTTCATCGGACCCCTACCTCCAGCCTCTCTCCTCTCTGATTCTTCATCTACATAGCTGTAAAATCATCTTCCCATTGCACAGGATTGATCACATAATTTCAAAAATCTTAGGATCGCAGAGCCAGGGATGGAAGGAAATCTTAGAGGTCATCAACTGCCTCATTTTACTAATAGGTAAATGGGAACCCAGAAAAGCTTAATGGCTTCTCCAGGGCCACAGTGTCAGAGCCAGGAAGTCCAAACTCAATTCCTTTCATACTGCACTACAGCCTCCTTCAGGTGCTCCCTCTCTACTGAGCCTCCAACAAAATACCAATTCCTCAGCCTCACGTTGAATGCCCCCATAATCTGATTGACTCATTTGTTCAATAATCTGCTTCCAATGTACCTTTCCACACTGATCCCATATCACTCCCCTTCATGCATTCTACATTCCAAGATGTTCTAGGTAGTTAGTTGTTCCTTGAATCGACTTTGCCACATTCTATCTCTGGAACTTGGCTCTGGCTCTCACTGACTTCTAGAAGGCACCCCCCCCATCTCTACTTTTTAGCGCCCTTTGATTCTTTCAGGGCTTAGCTCAGGTGGGTTCTCCTGAGCAAAACCTTTCACTTCTCAGTGTTTTTTCCCTTCTCAAATGAACTTGTATCTACTTTGTTTTGTATTTTTTATGTTTACTAATGTTTTATATTACTGTACTTCACTCTACCCCCACCCCCTTGCCCTCTTCAAGGGAAAGAATCATTCCTAATTTTTTATTTTGTCCTTGTAGCACCTACAAGGTTTATTTAATCAAACTAATTGATGGCCAACCTTTGTTTTTGAAAACAGAGACTTGGGCTTTGCTCATCAAAGTAAAGTCCCTTCAGTGTTCTCTGCACTCAAGACTTTAGGGAGCTAGGCATCATGGTCTGGAACATAAGAGTCCTTGAGGTAATGATCACAGGATGAAAAAGCTACCCCTAGAAAAAGCAGAAATATATCCAAGAGCATTTAGCACCTAAATCTGTGCTCTACTCTGCAATGAGCTCTGCTATTTGCCCTAACCACCAATGGATGATTACATCCTATAAGGCTACACAAAGAGGGTCAGCTTCACAAGCACCATCAGTGAAAACTCTGCTTCTCTAGGCCCCTATATGTTGGCTGTAAGAAGTCCCAGTGTGGGATAAAGGTGGCTATCTACTTGAGGTTACTGACAGCAGTTGCTGCCTTTTGACCCATCACCTGTATTAGTTCATTTCCCTTCTAAGAAATATCACGGTGCTACATCTATGGCCCATCCTTTAATTTTCTTGTTTACAAAAATGAGGGGTTAGGACTAGATGATCCCGGAGGTCCCTTCCAAATTGATGATCCTATGATCCTTCCTACCTGCTTCTTAAACTGAGTGAAAATCAGCCTCACAGAGCTATCTCTCCTATAACCAATGGTTAGCATACAATAGAGATGCCATTTCAGGATGATGATCATCTTGGGTCACATTAGCTTAAGAGCAAGGTTTAATCTCCTCCCCAATTAAGGTAATTACAAAGTTTTAAGTGTAAGGGTGGTCACATAAGATGAAGCTTTAAATTCATGAACAAGATGGTTTATACCCTGTGATCTCTATAAAATCTGAACTTCTCTACAATTGGGTCAAGAATGGAACACTGTGATTGGTTTACCAAATAAGAGAATCACAGCTCCTGGGAACTTTAAACAGCAAAAGAATTTTAGCAGGTGAGCAGTCATGTGGTAGAGGACTCCAAACTTGGGGAGGCAGACTCTTTTTATCTGTAAAAGAGGGCAGCAAAGTTGGGGGCGGGGAACACCTGGGCGTGATCCCAGCAGGAGTAACATACACAGACACACATACACACACACACACACACACACACACACACACACACACACACACACACTGACCGTGTTCTCATAGACCTGTAAGAGACAATGCACACAACCGGGAGTAAAAAGAGACATGTTGAGGACATAAAAGGATAAACATGTGTACAGATGGGTACAATAAGACAGTCACCCAAGGAAGGCAAAAACTTTCCAGACCGTGAGCAGAGGGGAATGTTGCTATGTACTCATAAAAAGACTTCCAGTAACAAGGAGGAATGAGTTTACCCTTTGGCCACCTGTGTTCTCCCCATTTAGAGCCCCCCTTTCCCATAGATCTGTATGTACTTATGGGAAAGTATAGGCCAGAATTTCAGTGAGATGCCTTGTATCAAATGTTCTTACTATATGACCTTAGCAAATGCTTTTTGCTTTTTTTTTTTAAGGTAATGATGTCTACTGACCAATTAAAACAGAAAACACACTGGTGGGGGCTCATGAATAATACTAGTAGAAAACCAGCCCTTCAAGGTTACTACAACAGCCATGAGTGCCATAGAAGTCAGTTTCTGGGGAAATTTTTGGCCAATAGGAGTGTTAGTTGGGGAAGCAGCCCTAAAGAGGAGGTACACAAGGAATTCTCTCTTCTTAGACTAGGGTGATAAAAGAAAGCTACCTGCCCAGAATAGCTATAAGATAAACTAAACCTCCCAAAGTTTTGCAGTGAGCTTGCTTAAAAGAAATTAATTTGTGATGGGATGGGAAGCAAAGGAGAGCCTCAGTTTAAGCTTATGGAAAATTCCCAAACAATAAGAGACCTCAGCACACAAACACTCAGAACAACAAGAAGTTGGGAGGAGGTGCTGTCCAAGATAATTTTGTGATTGGAAGCAACTCGAAAGATTAATAGAGGTACCAATGAAATGAAATTGGAATACGTAATTGAAGGAAAATAAATAGCAGGAGTGGGTATGGAAAAGTGGTGAGAATAAATTCACAGCCCTCACTCCCTCCAGGGAGCTGATGGGTAAATGAAAGCAGTAAGGTTATGTCAACCCTGAAGGCAATTCCCCCATCCCAAGAAGTAGCCTCCTTCCAAACTTCCTGACACTATGATGAATTAGACCCGGTGCTAAAGACAGAGGCAGGTTTCTGCTCCCAGGGGATGCCTCCCAGGAAAGCGCAAGGATCATTCTAGAAGAACAAGGGTTTTTCCTTTCAGAAGTTCATTTGTCTGAGAGCCTACTCTGTCTTGCTGCTAACTGCCTCTGCTCCAGAAATGTCTCCTCCTTGGCACCTCTGTCTATCCTGCCCTCTCATGGAAATTTCCAGAGAATTATAGATTATAGATCCAGAACCAGAAGGGATCTCATTTTACAGATAAGGAAACTGAGGCACAGGGAGTAAATGGCATCTGAACTGAGCTGACTCAAAGCTTAACACTTTTTTCAGCACCACCTGCAGGCTTATCCAACAGTCAGCCTTCCCCTAACCCATTCCGGCCTACACATAGAAAACTGATCACTTGCCTGAGGAGGAACCTACCTGACCCCTTCCACCACTGCTCCCCATAAACCGTAATGGGCCTTCCCTGGGTCCTCAGGGCTGATGAGGTTGTATTCCCTCCCTGGCTCTAATTTGGAGCTGGAGGGAACAGCATGGTGCCCTGAACTGCATCCTTCCTTGGTCACCTCCTCCCCTCCCTAAAATGAGAGGACTGAATCAGATAACCTCTGGGGTGTCTTCCAGTCCCAATCTAGGATCCTATGACTCCATCCTGTCCCTCCTTCCAAGTGTCTCCTTGAGTCTCCTTGGTGTGGGTTAAAATGTGCCATAATAAATGCCTGTTGGTTGGAACAATTACCTTCCTAAGTCTTTCAGGCACTATCCACTTAGGCCAAACCAGACTGAGATGCTCCTGTCAGATACATTTCCTTCTCTCCAGCAACTTCAGTGGCATCCTTATGTACAGATGACGGAATAACCAAGGCTTCTTGGGGCAGGAAGGCGGTGCAATGGATAGAGCACTGGCCCTGGATTCAGGAAGACCTGAGTTCAAATCTGGCCTCAGACACTTGACACTTACTACAAGTGATCAGTGACACTGGGCAAGTCACTTCACCCCATTGCTTCATAAAAAAAAATAAAAAATGAAAAAATGAAACAAAGCTTCTTGGATTTAGAGATGAAAGAGATCTTAGGGATCATTTTGTCCAATCCCCTCTTTTGTCCTCAATTCATTTTTAAAAATTAATGAGCATTTATTTCTCTCTCTTACCTCCTATTGCTAAAAAAGAAAAACAAAAAACATTCCATGTAACAAACATGCACAATCTAGCAAAACAAATTCCCACAGTAGCCATATCCAGAGACTGTCTGTTTCATTATGTATATTGAGACCATTGTCTTTCTTTCAGGAAGATGGATAACATTCTTCATCATTGGCACTTTGGAATCATGCTAAGTCCCTCTTTTATAGGTGAGTAAACTGAGGAACAAGAGGAAGACAAGCAGTGTAGCACTGGCCTCAAAACCAGGAAGGTCTACGTTAAAGTCTTGCTTCTGACACATCCTAGCTGTGTAGCACATTGCTCTAGGCTACTCTCTAAAGACAATAATGTTCAGGGAAGGTGGTGACATGCATTGGCAGAAGGCACTTCCTCACCTGGGAGTTCCTCCTACTAATGAAATCTCAGTTCCAGTTTCCATCGCTAGCCCTCTTGCTACTAGAGGTACCACAGGAATTCAGTAGCAGCCTAAGCTCATGGATATATTGAATAGAGGCACGTGAATTCCCCACTCAAGTCCTCTTCCCATTGACACCATGTTTCAGTTTCCACTCCCAAGGTCACATGACATTGGTGCCTCCCGTGAAAAATCTTGAGACTTCATTCACCTCTTAAATCCATCAACCAATCAGTCAACAAGCATTTATTAAGCACCTACTATGTGCCAAGCTCTACCATCAATTCCACTAGAGTGATCAACAGTGAAATTGAGAAATCAGGAAACTTCTAGGGTGTGAAACTTGCTTAGGGGTCATCTAGACCAGGGGTTCATAATTTTTTTTTTGCATTTTAAATGCATAAAATAAAACAGGAAATAAAATTATATTGAAATATAATTATAAAAAAAAATAAATTCACAGACCCCAGGTTAAGAACCCCTCATCTAGACCAATGTTGAAATTTTGTAAATGAGGAAACTAAAGCCCAGGAGTGGACTTGACTTGCCTGAGACCCAAAGCTGAAGAGAGAAAGCAATAGCTCTAGGCCTTTCACACTCCCTGGACAGTGGCAGGCACATTACAGGGCTTCATTTAGATCCAAAATCTGAAACTCAGCCTATTACCCTGTTTGAACCCAGCAATGGTGACATTCACCATTCTAAGTGCAAGGCAGACACATCTCCAAGACGAGGAAACAAGAATCCTGATTTTTTTTTCCTGCCCATTGAGTTTCATCCTATGCACCAAAAAGCCACAGACTGCACAGAATTAATCTGTGCATAATGTGATGATAATTAAGTATAATTATTACACAGTAATAGGCAGGCAGATGTCACTGTTTCTTAATCGAGGCCCCTTTATAGTCAGTGCCAATTGTCACCTAGGATAATTAAAAGCCATTTCAAGGATTTAGTGTTGGTGTTGGGGACTAGAGGAAATGACTCTGTCCAGGAGAGAGCTTGGGGACTATTATAGATGCAAATGCAGTGAGATCTTCTCTCAAACTTGTGGGTCTCCACCTACTTCTTGAGGGGCTTGAGAAGCATGTCTAAGAGGAGAGTTTGTTCTACGATTGTCAGGTACCAAGAAACAAAGGACATAACCAAACAGGACGCTCCAATGGGAGAGGCTACCAAGGGACCATTTTGGGGAAAAGCAATGGCTTGGGAGTCAGAGATATGAGTTCAAAACCCTCCTGTGATGGTCACTCTCTCTGTTCCCTGGACCTCAGTTTTCCCATCTGTAAAAGGAAGGGGATGGCCTCTGAAGTCCCTTCCAGCTTTGGTTGCATGATCCCATGAGCCTAAATGGAGTCAAGTGAAGTATTATTGCAGTTTCCGTTATCAGCTGAAAAGAGGTTGGCCTAGGGAAGAGAGATGAGAAGCTGAAAGCTACACCAGCTGGGTTCTTCTTCTGGCCCTCTCACTGTGGTCACATTCTAGGACCACAGTCCATTTTCCAAAATGATTTTTTCTGGAATCCCTCCCAGGCTGTGAGGAGAAGAAATATATTGGTGACAAAAGAAGAAATACTGGAATCTAAGAAAAGATTATTTTTTAATAAGGATAAAATTAATCTTTTTAAGACTTATTTCAGCTACATCAGTCTCGGGCCAAGTGAGAAAAGCCAGTGTATCTTAGCAAAAAAATAGAAAGCAAAAATTAGGAAGACTGGGTGGCTACTCTCAGCTTGACCCCTGACTTGCTATGTGATTTCAGGCAAGCTCACTCGACCTCTCTGAAAAATGGGACTAGTAACTGGCACTTTAAACCTGAAAGGGTAGGAAGATGGATGAAGATTCACCGATGAGCTGCAGGATCTTGGGAAAAAAAAGGTCTTAGAAGGTAAGATATTCTTAACGACTGTGATTTCTCCATCACACACCATGGGCTGTCTTGAGAGCTTACAGCCTGCCTATGTTCCTCAGCCTCCCTTTGGATGGGAGACCATGAATCCTTATGCCTACACTCTGCCTGTGGCTACTCCCCTAACAGCCCAGATGTGTCCTGGAGTATTCCTGAAGGTCAGAGTTAGAACAGTCCCCTGGATGTCATCTGGTCCCAAACATGGAAAAGAATCCTCTTTACAAAGTCCCAGACAAGTGATCATCTAGCCTCTGCCTAAATACCCCCAGAAGAAAGGTAGCCACTGTCCACAGAGGACATTCCTTCACCCTCTGGACAGCTCCATGTGGCAGGACACTGGGGTTCCCTTCCAATATACTGAGCTGAAATCTGGCCCCCTCCCTCGTTCTGGCCTCTGAGGCCAAGTGCAACAATTACTTCATGTGAAAATCTTTCAGATAATAATAGTGATAATCATAACAGTCATATCGTATTTTAATGTTTGCAAAGCACTTTACAAATAAATATCTCATTTGATCCCTACAACATCTCTATGAGGCTGATGCTATTATTGTTCCCATTTCACAGATGAGGAAACTAAGGCAGATTGACTAAGAAGGTTGCCTAGGACCACACAGCCAGTAGCTGTCTAAGGAAGGGCTCAAACTCAGTTCTTCCTCACTCCCAGTCAAGCATTCCATTCACTACTCCACATAGTTGCTTTGAAGATAATAATAATAATAATAATAATAATATAATAATATAATAATAATAATAATAATAAATAACGATGCTATTCTCCTGAATCCCACAACAGCGGCAGCACCTATCCAGCACTTTCAGGCTGGCAAAGTGTTTTACAAATATTATCTCATCATCCTCACAACAACCCCAGGAGGTAGAGTCTATTGTTATCTCCATTTTACAGATGAGCAAACTGAGGCAGCTAGAAATTAACTCCCTCTCCCAGGCTACTAAGTTTCTGAGGCTAGATTCAAACTCAGGTCATCCTGACTCCAAAGCCCAATACTTTGTCCACTACAAAACCTAGGTCTATACGAATAGCAGATTATTGTTGCACTGCAGAAACCATGGATGCGATGGATTCAGAGAAGCTTGGAAAGACTCAAACGAACTGAAACAAAGTGAAATAAGCAGAAGGATGAAAATAATAGATACAATGATTACAGCCATGTAAACAAAAAAGGACAATCTGCCAATTAACAAGTATTTATCAAGTATCTATTATGTTTCAGGCCCTGGAGATATCAAGACAATACTTTCTCCCACCAGCATACATAAGCAAATACAGAATGTATGGCCTCCAAGTGGATAGAGTGCCAGGCCTGGAGTCCAGAAGACCTGAGTTCAAAACCAGCCTCAGACACTCCCTAGCTGTGTGACCCTAGGCAAGTCACTTCACCTTGTTTGCCTCAGTTTCCTCATGTATAAAATGAACTGGAAAAGGAAATATCAAAACCACTCTGCCATCTTTGCCAAGAAAACCCTGAATGAGGTTGGACGTGACTGAAACGACTGCGACAATAAATACAAATCTGTGAGATCTTAATAAACCAAACAACACACACAACACACCAGGCAGAGGTGAAGTCACTGATTTCCCTCTCTTCCTTGGACAAGTTGGGGGCTATGAGTGGCAAATGTACATGCGGTCAGACCCAGCTGACAGGTCCACTGATTTTGCTTTACTGTTTCTTTGGGGCAAGGGCAGATGTACTGGGGAGGGAGGTATATTCTGAAATGCTTATTATGTAAAAACAGACTGCACTCATGCAACTTTAGAAAATCAATAAATAAGAAGTGAAGATATGCTTCATTTCCCAACACAGACAAAAACAAAACAAAATGAGGCTGGTAGGCTGCAGTCCCCAGAAGCTGCCCACAGGCACCCCTAACACCATGGGGCTTGACAGAATACCAGTAGAAAATCCCTAATAAAATTACCAACCGAACTTGGTTCAAAAATCATGGCTAGGGTGTGTGTGTGTGTGTGTGTGTGTGTGTGTGTGTGTGTGTGTGTGAGAGAGAGAGAGAGAGAGAGAGAGAGAGAGAGTGTGTTAATGTCAGAAGTTAAGTAAGAAAAATCAAACCCTCCTTATATTTCGTTTTTTTATTTATTTTCCTTTGCTTCATATTTTGGTATTTGATTTATGGGGTGATAAATTGGATTAAGTAATTTGTGTAGTTATTATAGATGTATACATAGGCACACAAGCCTAAGATTTCTCTGGAGTCTCTTATTTGTCTAAATTTAGATCTTAAAACAGTGTTAGCTTCAGTCCCTTAAAAAATAATCACAAGGTTGAGCAAGAGCAGGAGAAAGTCCACTGTATCAACACCTTTAGGACTTACCCCAGCTGACAAAGAATACATCTCTCCATTCTATAGCACCATCCCCTGGGACGCAGCATAATGTTTAGAGGGCATTTCACTTTGAATCTGCTGCCCTACCTGGTTTCAACTCCTTGGAACCAGATTAATCCTGGTGCCCCATTTACCCCATCCCATTACTTTCTCCTTTTGTCTCCCCTTTTAGATCGTAAGCTCCTTGAGGGATTATCTTTTTTGTTATTATTAATTGTATCCCCAGCACTTAGCACAATGCCTGGAACATAGGAGTTGCTTAATAAGTGTTATTGGATTGGATTGGTAGATGGGTGGATTGGGAGTCAAGAAGACTACAGTTCAAATACCATGTATAGGCTAGGTGACCACAAGCAACTCTCACTCTCCCAGCCTCAGTTTCCTCAACTGTAAAATGGGGATAGTAGCATCTATGTGACCTATCATACAGGGTTGTCCTAAAACTTGAACGAGATTATTTAGGTAAAGTGCTTTGCAAACTTTAAGGGGCTGTATAGAAATGCCGGTTATAAGCATTCCCCAGTGCTCAATGCATTTGCACCTGGTATCTGGGTACATTTCAAAGCAAACTCAAATTACTATCTCAAAATTAAGGAGTACCCTTTTGCACTCCAGTTGTCGTGCCATTCAGGCATTCCATGAACATTTATTGTTGAATCATTTTTCTAGTCCTGTCTGACTCTTTTCTTGGCCTAGATACAGGAGTGGTTTGCCATTTCTTTCTCTAGTTCGTTTAACAGATGAGGAAATTAAAACAAACAGGTTAAGTGACCTGTCCAAGGTCACACAGCTAGAAGTATCTGAGACCAGATTTGAACTCAGGAAGATGAATCTTTCTAACTCCAGGCTTGGTATTGTAGCTACTGTACCACCTAGCTGCCCTATGCATTTATTAGGCACCTATTAGGTACAAGGCACTATGCCATTTTCACTATTATTTGCTGAATACCTGAACCCCCCAGGGAATCCTATTGGGTCGATGTTTTCTCACTGTCTGGGTCTCAGGGCAAGGTTGGGCTCTTCGCTAAGGTCGGGCTAACTTGGAGAATGGTTACACGGGTCCAGTTTGGTCATAGCCTCGATCCCAGATCCATCCCTTCCATAACCAACAAATGTGAATTGTGACTAGGTACACATGAAGAAGTAAAGAAAGGGTCTCAACACCTGACATGGTAGCATTTTGGAGATAGGCAACAATTTGATCCATAATTATTTCCAGATAAGTCAGCATAGAGTCAAAGAGATAATGGTCAATCCCTGCCTTTGTTCATTGTCAACCCTAGGTTATATAGAGCTGAAGCAGGCTCTTAACAGCAAAGATTTCAGCTCTCATCGTTTACCTTGAACAGCCATGCCCATTTATCAGGTTCAGAATGTATCTACATTTTAACTCCCCCACTAGCCATGCACCCTATGTATGGAATCTGCCTCTGGAGTCTCTATTCTTTAAGCCTAACACAGGCAGCAGAGAACAATAGAAAGCACTGTGTTAAGTCAAGAGATCTAGGGGACCCCATCACTAACTTACTACCTAACTTTGAGTAAGTACCATCCCCCTTTCTTCAAGTCTTCCTCCACAAAATGAGGGGAACTAAGGACTCGACATTCTCCGAGGTGCCTACCACTTCTAACATTCTCAGATTCTCACTTCACTACAACTTTTCTGCTTAATGATGGATGGAACCCAGAGGTATCATCCCTAATGAAGTCTCCCATCTGAGAACCCATCTTCCTGAGGTCATCCAAGGAACCGGAACACAAGTCTACTTTAAAAAAAAAAAACAATTCTACAAATAGTGTGTGTGTGTGTATTTTTTTTTTCTTAGAGGGAATAGGGAGCCTGCATGATGTAGAAAACAGCAACAGCCTGGTGAACATGATTCACTTGGAAACAAGGGCTTCTCTGGATATTGTACACAAAGGGAGAATTCTGGCCCCTGGTTGTAAAGGGCTGCAGGATTTGTGTCTGGGCTGTGGGTTGAGAACAAGGACAGCTACTCATCAGCAAAGATGCCACTCAGTGACATAAAAGACATTTTACTGCTTTAACGAAAGGCATTACAATACATTTTCCAACAACAAATCTGATTAAAAAAGAAAGGGGGAAGTGCAAAGGACCTACTGACAAACTCAGAATGACTCTGGAGCCCCCTCCCAACTCTTGATCATTATCCTTTTCTCTCTGGCATGTCAATGAAATGGCAAGCAAGGTTATCCCAATGGAAGGAGGGAAATGATTAGGTCTTGTATGAGTTTGTGGTGAGGTATCCCAGTGCATTGTTCCTCTGTTAAGTGCCCAACACAGTGTCTAGGCACACAGTAGATGCCTAATAAGTATTGTTGATTATTTTTTGATGGCAGGTAGGCTCCTTGGGGGCAGAGACTTTTTTTACTTTTGTCTTGATATTTCCACTACTTAGAATAGTACCTGACACATAGCAGGTGCTTAATAAATTCTTATTGGTTGAGAGAACATAAGGTCTTTGAAGGTAGAGATTGCCTCATTTTTTGTCTTTGTCTCCTCAGACTTAGTACAGTTACTGGCACATAGTAGGTACTTGATAAATGCTGATTGATTGATTAATTGATCCTCCCAGAAAGTCCAGTCACTCTACTCTCTCTAACTGAATACATTCAACAACTCTACAAGCATTCATTACAAGCCTACTATGTGTCAGGTGCTTTTGGATACAAATAAAAACTAAACATTCCCTGTCCTCAGGAACTTACGTTCTATTGAGAGAAAACATGTACAGAGTTAAGCAAATAAAACTACATACAAAGTTAATTTCATGTGGGGCAGACAGGGAGAGCATTATTAGTTTGGGTGTGGGGCAGAAGTCATGTCAGGAAAAGGAATGTCTTGAGCATAAGCACAGAGGCAGGAGATCTCAGACTAGAAGGCACCTAAAAGATCATGAACCGAACTGAAAAAGGCCATCTAGTCCAGGTACCTTGTCTGACAGATGAGAGAACTAAAATCCAGAGATATTCAATTACTTTCCTAAGAGCATGCAAATAGTGAAGTGTCAGAGATAGGGTCTGAACCCAGGTTCTTGAACTCCAAAGTCAACACCTTTTCCACTGTCTCGCAATCAATCAACAGGTATTTCCTAAGTACCCTCCATGTTTCAGGCACTGTTAGGCACCAGAAATACAAAGCCAAAAAAAAGCAACAGTTCTGCCCTCAAGAGGCTTACATTCTAACAGAATAGACATTACCTACATCTAGTAAGTACATATAAATTAAATATATACAGGATAAATATGAATAAATCAATATAGGATAGTTGGGCACTAGTACTTAAGAGGAATCAGGAAATACTTCATATAGAAGGTGATGTTTAAGCTGAATCTTAAAGGAAATAAGGATTCAATGATGTGGAAGTGAGGAAGAAGTGCTTTCCAGGCATGGGACACAGCCAGTGCAAAAGTATGGAGATGGGAGAGTGCTATATGTAAGGAACAGAGAGAAGGCTGACTGATTGATTGACTTTACAAGACCTGTGACATTAATCCAGACAGTCTCTGAACACTTCCAGTGACAGGGAGCTCAACACCTCCTAATGAATGTTGTTGATTAATTCTATTTTGGGGTTGGCACTAAATGTTAGGAAGATCATCCTTATACTCATTGGGAACCCACATCCCTGCAACTTCTACATAGTTTCATGCTGCCCTCTGGACCAATACAAAATATCCTTCTTCCACAGAATTGTCTTAAAATAATTAAAAGACTGTTAACATGGCCATCCCTAAGTCTTCTTTTCTTCAGGTTAAATAATCTTAGTTTCTTCCACCCTTTCTCCAGATCCATCAGCCTCATGATAGGATGGCCCCACTCTTCAACAGCCATCCTAAGTGCAACAAACACTAATGTGTCTTCTGACCAGGAGTTTGCTGGTAAATGTTTAGCTTTCTAGAAAAAAAAAAAAGGTACCCATCACTCACTTATAAGTTTAATATTCATTATTAACATTTTCTCCATTACTTTCTTAAGTCTAGACTATCTCAAAACTATAACTCAAGCATTGGTTTGTAGCATCTGCTTTTTCCAAGGCTCATACTGAAAATTTAACAATCAGCTCTTGTGAGTGGGCCCAAGCTGGCTCCAGCACACCCTTGTATCTGACTATCTGACTAGAGGAGAATGGAAAGGAAGTATTATCTCCCCTATTCCAGGTACCATTCATTTATAAGTGTAAACCCATGATCCCTCTTGTTTTTTGAGATGGTCAGTTACATGTGTAGATATAGGTACAGAGACAGAGAGATAGATACATAAGTGGGTGTATATATGTATATACATATGTTGTTGTTCATCTGTTTTCTAAGAGGGCCAATGACATCATGGGGTGATGTCTTGACTTGCATGTGAATTGGATTTAAGTGAGGCAGAGCTGTCACTCTCTCCCCCCAGAGTCATCAGAGTGCAGCTGCAACACAAAATCAGTATGTGTATGTGTGTGTATATATATATATATATATCAATATATATATATATTTGTGTGTATGTATTATATGTGTGTATGCATGTGTGTGTATGTATTATGTGTGTGTGTGTGTGTGTGTATACTTGCAGCCACATAAGATTGTATTCACATAAACTGTTTCCTAAACACATCTCTCCCATTCTATAAGGGTGCAATTGATTTTTTTGAACCTAAGTATGGAAATTTACATTCATATCTCTGCAATTTCACATTATATTTGGCCCAACAATTCAGTATATCATCATTTTTTACATTTAGATCAAAAATAGTATGTGCTTTTCCCAAATGTAATATAAATAAATGTGAAAAAACATCAATTGTTACTTTTCACTTGTAACAATCTTTTTTTCAAAGGATCATTTAAGGACATAGGATCATAGATTGAAAGCTAGAAAAAACCAGTCATTGAATTAGGACCAAGATTTTTCCCCTTTTCTACTTCCTCATTCAGAAATCAGCCTCCCTAGGCTATTCAGGAAGCCTTTGAAGCACAGGGCTGATAATAAGAAGGAAAACTCAGGTCTGTTCAAAATGTAAGGAGATTTTAGTTTAGGTAAATTGACAGATTCTGGCCCATTGTGTTTTATTCAGACACGTCTGGGAAAAAGTGGATTCTCCCTTTTGTCTAGATTACCCTAGATGGGGTGATATGGGTAAAGGTAAAGATCTTTGACCAAGACTGAGTGATCTGAGTCAAGTCCCCCAGCTCTCATTAGAATAAGCCCACCTCTCATTATAATATTCATTCTCTCAATTACTTGTTAACCAATCAGAGTTGATTACCACCCTCAGGAACACCCACTTTTCCAAATACATATAAGCACTGAGTGGGTTCCATGAGAGGTCTTTGGCATTCGAGAGTGCCACTGACCCTTTTATTAATTATTTGCCAGCATGATTGATAAAATGATTAATCACACAGAAACTATGTCTCTTCAGCTCTTTCTATATCACACCATCTAGCCCAAACTCTTCATTTTCTAGATGAGAAAACTGAGGCAACCCAGAAAGGCTAAGTCATATAAATAGTAAGCATCAAAGACAGCATTTGGACTCAGATCCTATGACTTAAAATCTAATGTATTTCTCTACTATGCCATAATCTCATTTTGGGACATCCTAGATTTTGAGTCCTTCTGTGTTTGTACTATTACAACATTAAACATCTCACAGCTTATAAAGTGTTGTCATATTCATTCTTATAGTGGACCGCCTTTTAGATCAGTGCTTCTTAAACCGTGGGTCGAGACCCCAAATGGGGTTACAAAAAATGTGGCAGCAGGAAAAGGTTTCTGAATGTGCAGCGACCAAAAATTAATTCAAAATCAAATACGTAATGAATACAAGGTGTTTCTGGCAGCACTTGTCCATGTTGCATCACACAACTTCATTGTGGCCTTGGTTCTGAACACAAAGCATGTGCATTTTGCCCTCAGGCCACACGACACCAACAAATGCTACAGAAACATTTTGTGAGTGGGTAAAGTTTAAGAAGTCCTGCCGTAGATCACCATGTAGGGCAGACAGGACAGGTGTTCATATTTGTATCTTACAACTCACCAAGAAGTCAAGTGACTTTCCCAAAGCCACAGAGCTGACAGCAGCAAGACTCAGCCTAGAATGCAGGTCTCTTGGTCCCATGACTGCCAGCCAAAGCAAAGCAGAGAACTGAGGGAAAACCCCTTTGTATCCTTTACCTGGCTGATCACTGAACCCTTAAGCCTGAACAAGCTGATTCCAAGTACTAGGGCTCTGTTTCCCATTGCCAATGGAGATCTGACTTCTTAGAGTGTCCTTCTTCAGGCAGCTCGTTGTTTTGGGCTGATGCTTTAGGAAAGCACGTGCTTTAAGTAGTGCTGAGCTGGGCAATATGCCAGAAAGGTTGACCAGGCATGGCCCTCATCCCGCGGGGAGCTAACGATCTCAACCAATCAACACCCACAGAAGACAACAGGAGAAAAGATGAAGACCCACAGTTCTTCAGTTCAAGGGCGAACCCCGTGGTCAAACCAAAGTTCTCAACTAGAGACCACAATCAGCATTTCAGCGTTTATACCTGCTCGCCCTGCGCTCTCACACCTTTATACGTAGAGAGAAAAAGCAAAGACGCTGGGAAGAATTCTTATTGGAGGGACAGAGCCACGACATGTCAGCAACAAAGGGGGTCCTAATGCTCATTTGGTCCAACCTCTCATTTGCAAAGGAGGAGACAGATCAAGAGAGGTCAGGTGACTTGCCCAAGGATACACAGCCAGTAA